GGTAACTAGGTGCTATTTGTCTGTTTCGAAAAATATTTTAACCATTGTAGTGCCGCGCCCTTAATAGTGGTAATGTCAGCTGATCATTAATAACAGTTTAATTGTTAATTATAGATAGGTAGTATTGATATGTTTTTATGAACATTCCACATATGCCGAGTGGCCGGCAGTACGTGAATCGCGAAACGCGAAGCGCGCATTGTGCCCCCGGCACCCTTGTGCCCGCGCTACCGTGAAGGAGCCCGAGACTGGAAACAATCAAATTAGTTCCCGTCTGACCGCCAACCGAAGCACCACGCCGACTTGGATAGTAAGTAAACTCGTGAGTATAAAGACATAGGTATTTTAAACTTAATGCGGAATTATTCTGTCAGTAAACAGGTGACGTAGTTGTAATATACCGCGCATGACTACCGCGTCTCGTCCTACTTCTGCTTTTGGCAGTGTAGCATGAGGATTTTTCAATCAAATTAGTTCACGTCTGATCGCCAACCGAAGCACCACGCCAACTTGGACAGTAAGTAAGCTCGTGAGTATAAAGATATGGGTATTTAAATTTAATGCGGAATTATTCTAAGTCCATAAACTGGTGACGTAGTTGTAATATACCGCGCATGACTACCGTGTCTCATCCTACTTCTGCTTTTGGCAGTGTTTAGTAGCATGAGGATTTTTCAGACAAGTTAGTCCCCGTCTGACCGCCAACCGAAGCACCATGCCGACTAGGACCGTAAGTAAACTTGTGAGTATAGAGGTACATAGGTATACAAATGTAATTGCGAATTTTTCTAAGTCGGAAAAGGTGACGTAGTTGCAATATTCCGCGCATGACTACCGCGCTCATCCTACTTCTGCCTTTGGCAGAGTTTAGTAGCTTGAGGATTTTTCGCACAAGTCAGTTGCCGTCCAGCTGCTGACTGAAGAACCACGCCGACCAGCATAAGCATCCAGGACAGTCCGTTGCTGCCGCCCGTACCGACCAGACGTGCCGACCCTGATCGCTCCAGAGAGGAAGCAGCCCAGGATACGGAAGTAGGTATCAAGGTTTGATAAAGGTTTGGTAAATAATAGGTATTACTTGGCTGGTGAGTATTTTTCCGGAAATTGTTTAGAGTTGGTAAAACGCGACCGCCCCATCCGTGGTATCCGTCCGCCGTCTGCTTATGGCCGTTTAATTATTGCTGGTTACCTTTTTCACCGCTTAATCCCCCGTATTACCGTGTCGCACCGCTTGTACGCCCGCTTACTTCCCCGCTCGCCCGTAGTTAAGACCGTTGTAATATAAGTTGTAGTTACTAAGGTGTATATACAGTGTAAATAATAATTAGTGTGTAGAATAAATGTAAATATATTGAATGAGAGTCTGTTCATTAACTGTAGTGTGTAAGTTACCTTTTCCCGACCCCTGGCTTATCCGTTTCTTCACTGTAGTTGCCCGGCCTCTATCGTCCCGCCGATAGAGTAAAGTGGTGTTTCTGCACTTTAAACAGAAACTGGCGCCCGAGATATCCGTACCGTGTGCACCGCCGTAGTGTTGGGCGTCAAAGTGACACTTCTGCTCTTGTGTAGAGCAGCGAAGTACGTCACACCCTTCATAATTACACTCCATTTAATCATAAAAGTAAAGATGTCTTACGAAAATTACGAGTTTCCCTTTACAAACATCGAAATTTGCTCACCCTGTACACACGAATTGTAACACACTACACTGTTAGTATCCCGTACAAATTTATGCCCACAGACACTCAATCATCCAAGCGCACTTTTAATTGTGCACACCAAAACTAGAAATTCAGATACTTTAATTGTGCAATCTTGGTGTTAAACACACACAAGGAGATTAACTGTACCCCGTAGCTCGCATACTTCCCTTAATGCCTTTGAATTTTTAAAAGTTTAAAATTATTCATTACATTCTTCTCGTCAACCTTCTTTCTTCACAATTACTAAAAATCCTTAACTATCTTAGTTATTTTCGAATGTTCTCAAATTTTGTCAACTGGAGTAGTACTCTTGAAAATTTGCTTCTTATATGATGTAACAAAGTACTAAAAAAAAGGTCGAGAAATTTAATATGCACCTCACCGTTGCAATGTCCATTGCCTTATTTAGACAGAACACGCCATAGTGTAATTTTGAGATGATAATTTTCGCACCTTACATAAAATCGCATAATTTAGCATAATCTAGCAGAAATTGCATAAAAAGCGAATAATTAATTACGAGTCCACAGCTTTTTACAATATTTTACGGAAAAATATGTTTTTTTTTTTTCGTTTTATTTTTTACTACGCCTGGCAACGCTTTCACAGGCTGGCAACGTTTTATAGGTTCCACTGAGTGAACATTATATTTTTTGATCTACGTTAATATATTTTTCAATTATCAAGGGGTGTTGCCGAGACAAACTGATAATTGTTTTAAAAAACAGCAAAGAAGTGGATTTTTCTGTACCAAATTCTGTAATCAAGTTAAGAGGGCATCGATAAATTCCCCCTCTCAACTTAGCCCAAAACAAATTGTAAATTAAATGTCTAACTTGTTCGAGGATGGATTCGAACCATCGGCCTTCGGTACCGAGTAAATAGCTATAAGCGCTTTACTCACTCGGCTACCACGTCTCATTAATACATTAGTTACTTACCATTTACCAATTTATTATTGTTACCATGGCGTAATAACTGCATAACATACTCTATGGATCAACATTACTTTGCAGCTGAAAATAATAGAATATGCACTGCCTGTAGATATATCGCTATAAGCGATTTCATGGATAATATAAAAATGAAACCATTACCAGTATTAAGACATAATAATCAAAGTAACGATTTCTTTTGCCTGTAAACTTTGAGGACATGATTTTCTTAGAATTAAACCAAGGAACTCATGTTACACAACGCACAAACTGTTTTACGATCCTACTCGTATATAGCATACTTGATTTAATTTTTCTGTATCAACAGCTATAGATTCACCAATATTACTTTGCATATTAAATGAATTTGTAGGACATTAACACACAAAAAAAGAACGAGTCTCAGAACCTAACCTTGGGGTATATCCAATTAAAATTCATGTATCAGATCTATTATCACTTATTCTTACACGTATTATCCGGTGTTCTAAGTATTAATTATTAATTAAACATCACAGATAATACAACCCTCTGTATCCTTGAGGTATCTCAAGGTATTTTATGCGGAAGAGGGCTACACATTTAGAGACAATGGACGCACACCCAGTATCCGAGTACGCTCGGATTAATTTATGGTTTATAAAGAATCCCCAGGTAACACTAATGCTCTTATTAAGATCTCCAAGGTCGCTTTAAAATTATACAATAAAACTTCGAATAAAACCAAATGATCTTCAAGACAAGCTTAGGATCACCATAAAGCAGCTTCTAGCCAAAAAGGGCCCATCCTAAAAGGGTCTTGAAGACTAAATTTTAAAACTATATTTAAAACCATTTAGATTTAATTTCATATTCTTAAAGAGTTCTTCAAGGCAACCTTAAATTTATGTATTAAAACGTTTTGCATTTAAAATAAAATTGCAGCGGACTAAATTGCCTTGAGAATCATTATAATTAATCCTAAAAGGGTTTTATTTTGTTTTAAAGTCGGACAACTTTATGCGTGAAATAGTTAAAACAACGGCAAGTCTCTAATGGGGCAGAGTGGTAATATTTTAAACGTAACGCATATAAAGCTGATCAAAAATAATATTCAAATGCAAACTATTCTGGTAAAAATTACCAACGGATGGCACTTTTCTGACAAAATATAATAAAATACTTCTACATAACTCGAGCGCCACCAATATAATGTATTTTTTATTATCTAAAAAATTTTTTTAAAAATATCGTCAATTTTTATTTTGCATCTAAACATCCAAATGCATTTTTTTTTATTAAATTGCATGTTTGGACACACCGTCCTTCAGTTATTTAAGAGGATGTAAAGCGCATTTATTTCAATAATATTTTTTTTCTTTGGCTATTGAAAATATTCATCATGGCGGGTCTGTATCTTATATAAAAAATGGCGTGGTCTAGATAAAAACTGATTGCAAGTTAATAGAACATTTTAAATCTTACAAGACTTAAAATAGCGTTTTATTTACTACTTTAAGTACAATTACTCTCCCAGACATTTATTTACTCTTCCTTTTAAAACTGAGTTGCTTTAATATGTTCAAACTCGTGGCTTTATTGATTTAAAGGGATCCGGCGCGCGTATGAAATTCTAACCTTAAAATTGTGCCGGTTTTGTGATTGCTGGATTTAGTGACTTCGTTTTAATTTAAAATACTTGTCACTAATATTTTCCATTTTAAATATGTCTTCTAGTTTTCATTCATGGATAAAGTAGGTACACGGACTGCACTGGTTCACTAAATCAGCAATCAGTTTATTAAGCAGATGGCGTGTTTTCTCCGATTATGGAGGGGGTAGAATTAGTTTTAATAAAGTTATCAAAAATCCAACAGGCATTTCTTTTAATCAAATTGACTAAATTAAAACCTTTGAACTTTAAAATATTCTTAATACTCTTTAAAAAGTAAAAACTATGTTTTAGGATTTAATGTGGAATTTCATTGAGCATATAGGCTTAAAATAAAATAGTTTTCTTAATGGGTTTTAATGACTACATCAAGGATACTCCATAAAACTACATTAAAACCATTTGTTCCAAAATGGATTGTTTTAAAACCAACTTGCTATTTCATTCTTTAAAAAGGCAAATTAGTTTTAAAATAGCCAATGTCAAGAGTATTATAAAACTAGTATAAGATCAATAGGGCATTAGGAGCAAACAGTTTTTTTATTTTAATTTAAAGAGTGCATTAAATCCTTTGCATAAGAATCAGTGGTCTTTAAGAACATTTAGTTTATCTTAAGGTAATTTTAAAACCACTATCATTTTATTGAACATGTTAAAGCACTTTTAAAACCTAAATAAATCAAAAGTATCTTAGAGTTGTTACTTGGGTCCTAGCTACTCGACCGGGGATCGAACCCGGGACTCCAGGAGAGCCAAGTGTCCTTACCGCTTGACCAAGAAGCCAATTTGATTTAATAAATGATATAATATTAAAAACTGAAAGGTAATCGTACCATACACGACAAAAAAGAAAACACGGCGCAAGTACGTGTCCGTAGCTGCGTCGTGTTCTCTTTTGGAATGCATGACAAGATTACCGTTCAGTTTGTTATTGTTCAACCCTTCAATCTCTCCCTCCGATAAAAATTGCTTTGGGGACATTGTATACAGGGTGTTTCAGGATAAACTGGACAAACTTAAAATATGAATTCAGGACTTCAAAATAAGAAAATGTTTTCTATGGAGGTATGTCCGGAAACGCTTCGTTAAAGAGTTACACTTAGCTTTTTAATTTTTTTCTCAAATTCGGAAAAAAGATAAAAATACGAATTTGACAGCAGCCTACTATGCTATGTTAACAAAACAAAAGTAACAAATATAAATATGCAATGTGTTCGTGCCTATAAATGTTACATCGGACTTTAATTTTTGCTTTGTTTAACATAACACAATTTTCAATAACAGTATTTCTTCGTTTCTCAACTATTGATTGAACCTCGCAAGTTTCTTTTCTTTGGTTACGTTCCTTGTCTTTGGCCTCTTTGTAGTTATCAAGTAGTAACTTGGCCACCTTAATTACTTCAATGTCGCCCTTTTTCATAGCATCCTTCAATTTTGTATTCGCTTCATGAAAAAGGCTAATAGCTGCCTGTTCCTTTATTTTGATGAGATCTTCATTTTCTTTAACTTTCTCCTCTAAATCTTGTATCTCTTTTTGATTTTTCCTGATCTGTTCCAATTTATTTTTCTTCAAGTAACTTTCATTTTCCATGTCTCTTTCGCGCTGATGCGCCTATGACAGTGCGATATGATTGGATATTTTTGAATTTTTTTTTCAATATTGCAATGACTTTATTGGATATCTAAATAAAAAGTATTAAGTACAACAGAAAAAAAAATTAACAAAATGACGAGATTTTGATTTAAGCGACTGTAAGTGACAATTTCCGAGGAAAAACGACATTCCAACTATCGGTTGGAAAAGTGACTTTAGATGATGTAAGTGATACTCTTGGAAGCCCTGCCTGATGTAAAATACTACAATTCCATTAGCCGTTTTTTTAAATAAACTGGCTAAAATATGAGAAGCAATAAATTGTGTAAAATTTTATGTATAAAAATTATATAAACTAAAGAATTATGTAACTTTCTACATTTAAATTTTCGAATAATTAAAATTACATTACTTGCAGAGTGATGAAAAGTAGAATGGAATGTTCAAAGAGAAAGAGTAGTTTTTCTCTGTAGTTTTTTGCGATATAAAATATTGAGAAATGGGTTGTTTCTAGATTTCTGTAACAGGTAATTTATTTTTTGTGTTGAGATATATTTCATTACGTTTTATCTCTCTTGGCAAATAAATGAAAAACTCGAACTCTCTAATAAATTATATTTGTTTAGCAATTAAACATTTATTGGAATATTTTATAATTAAAAACAGTTTAATTTACATTTTCTCCAAGCAACTGAACGACGAGGCAATTCAGTGAAATGGTGATGGCAAGTGTCATTAAAATAATTTGACAGGATGCATTATTAGTATGAACGTGGTCACTGACTTTACAATCGACCTCCCCCTTCCCGCCAACACCCTACTTCAGCCGACCTTCCAGAGGCCGTACGTATAGACAACCTAAAAACATCAGGCAACACCGGACGCGTACAAAAAGACTGCATTGTTGCCAAGTGAAAATTTTTTTGTTTACATTTTTTTTCATTTTAATCGGACATCAACACTGGTAATTTGGAAACATAAATAAAGGAAATTATAAATTATTCCAGAAATAAAAATAGTAAAATATTACTAGGTATTTCGAAATATAAAATAAGTGTTACCTAATTTGAAACGATTTAAAACTATTACGATTTTATACAGAATCTTTGAGCTTTTTAAGTTACTGTGTTTTATGCAAAAAGTAATGGATTATAAAACTATATATTAAACAAGTTAATTCTTCATTATTTTCGGTTAATTTCAACAGTTTGATCTCAGCAAACCAGTCGCATTTGAAGTATTTGAGTATATAAAAAATTCTATAATCTAACATACAATTAGTGTACATGACACAGGATGTCCAAATTAGTGGGATTCGAGGGCAGGGTTTCATCCATTTATGCACTAAACACAAAAAGGGCTACTTTCAAGAAAAATCTAATGTCCAAAATTTAAATTCGATATCTCTTCAGAGATCAATGCTTAATTTTTAAAATTTGCGAAAAACTACATTTCATTTTGTGCAAATATCAATATAAGTACCACTATTTTTTCGGCTGACAAATAAGAAAAAGATATTTATACTTTTTCTTTACAGGGTGTATCATTCATAAATGAGGCACCATTTGCAAAATATGGATTTTTTGAGGGTAAAATAAAAAGTAGTTAAACATTTGGAACACCATTATTTTATTTAAGATAAGCAATTAAACAGAAGAGCAACTTTAAATTTATTAAACATATTTAAAGAATCCACCACCATATTAAAGTTAACGCACCGTAAAAGACAATCTCTAACTGTAAGCAACATTTGCCTATCTATTAATGATATTGCTTCTTGAACTCGGGAAAGTATGTCCGCCTGATTTTCAACTGATATCTGATACACTGTTTCTGAATCGCCAAGGAAAGAAGTCGATTAGTGTTATGTCAGGTGACTAAGGGGGCCAACGAAATGGTTCCTCATTCGTTGTGGAAAACTTTGGTTTAGAAAATTACAAATTCCAAAACGCGTCGACACTCCGCCACGTTGGTACCAAATATCCGGCCTAATATTACGAACATCTTCAAGTCATGGGGTTAAATCTTCAGTTAAATTCCCCGACAGCAGTAAGGTGATCATCTGGTACGATTACTAAGTTGGCAAGTATTTTGCACCAAAGGCATACTGACGATCGTCTTAGGAAACATCTTTGACGATACTAATCCAGATTCTCGTCGCACGAAAAATGTAGATTGTGTAAATTAATAATACTTACTTGGGTAAAGGATGAATCGTCGTGGACATGCTCGTAAAGTCAGGATTACGATTCGGGTTCTTCAACGACCATCTGCAAAAGTTCAGCTGAAGCTTTGTACCACCATCATGTAACAAATGCACTTCTGCGAACTAAATAGGTGTATGAGACAAATTAATCTGATTATGCTATAATTTGTCGAGTGCTCATAGAAGGATCGATCATCTTCAATGCTTATAAGAAATGCTTCATCTCATATATTATAAACCTTTGGGCGTCCAACACTTCTTTTTCGTTGATTTAAATCACCAATTTCAAAAAGCCTCTATTCTAGGCATAAAATAACTTTATGATCTGGGTGACGACGGTAGGGAAATCGTTCTGCATAATGAACCGCAGAATTATGGCTTATCTCTGTCACAAATTGATGAGATAAAAAAATGAATGAATTTTTTGTCCATTGGATTATCCCAGAAAATTCACCTAAAACATGTACAATCAGCCGTTCTCTATTTAGTAGACAAATTGGTGACTATCAATTTTCACTAATTCATGCCACTTTGTTTGTTTACTTTTAAAAACTCCAGTGGATGTCAAAGTTGGGCTAAAACAAAATTGTCCTCGGGGCGTAAATTATTCATGTGCCCGTTTTTCTCATCAGACCACAGCTGACCTACGCCTCCGTAGCATGGGGATACCAAGCGAAGACCTATCTGAAGAAGATCCAAGCCGTGGAAAACGTGGCCATCAGGACAGCGGTGGGCGCACCATGGTACGTTAGAAACGCTGACATCTTCAGGGACCTGGAGTACACACCAGTCACCGAAATCATCCGGGATAGAGCGAAGAAACTGTACACCTTAGCTGAGGAGCACAGGAACCCGCTGATCAGGGAGGCCACCTCCTATGATCCGGCCGACGCACCGAGGCACAAGAGGCCGAAGGTACAGTTACTGGATAACGGGTAAGTATAACTAATCCTTTCCTTACAGATGGACCAAACCCACTGAAAAGACATGACACGACCAACCACCCTCCCACAAACCTTGCGGGCGCCGGTCAGTAAACAGACCAGTGCCCGTTGTCCCCCTGGCTCCGTGAAGGACGAAAGTGCTAAGAAAGCACTTAGGCCTTCACCTCCTAGACTACACAGTTCATCCTCACCTTGTCCGATGATCCAGATGACAATGTGTCAATTGACACTTTGTGTACTGGCAGTCAATCCCAAGTCACAGAATATCCACACAGTCCCTGACAGACAGATGACTATCCCCGGGGGTGACAAGCTGGCGAAGAAAGAAGACGAAGACAGAAGAGCGCCAGAAGAGGCCCTAGCCAGCAGGGTTCATCAGCCAGGACCCAGGGAGGTTGACCGAAATCTTCGGCACCGCTCACATTTGTGAGTGGGGCCGTTCGTAAAGTAAGTTAACCCGCCCTGCACGAGGCCGGTCCAGGTCTACAGCGATGACTAGGGTAAAAAGGCAATAGTCCTGCCTGGCCCTAGCATCCGAGACCGTCATCATGCCAAATGGATATTGGCGGCCGTTTTTCTCTTTTGGATGGAAAATCCTATCTTGTCTAGTAATAGTTATATCAAATTATACTTCCAGTGAGTTCTTATACAATACAGAGTGTCATGTGCTGGATATGAAATGATTTTAGAAAACCGAAGCGGTGATCCTGGGTGCTAGTTAAATAATCGTCCGGGCCCGCCGACTATTTAGATCTCCCTCAGTCCGGCTCTGGTGGTTCTATAATAAATGTGGGGTGGTTTTTCGCAAAACCATGCAAATAGCAAGTAAAGATGTATAAATTCTATGTTGTAAGTGTTCAGAGCAATAAAACTCCGTATTACTATGCCCTGCACAAATCGTCTTGAATTCCTGTAGATTTGTAAGTTATCATCATGCTGTGGTCACAAATATCAAACGTTATTCTGATGAATACGAGGCCTTTTCCGGTAAGTTTGTTGCTTGAAATCAAATCGGACAGATTGAATTACCATGATAGCG